AATGATTAAATAAAAATGAAGATGTGGCTGCGAAACTTGGTTCCAAAGTATAGTTGGTATTGCAGAAGGTTGAACTAAAGTGCTATAACTAAGCAAAAATAAAGATATTAAACCGTAATTTACTGGCCCGCCACCTTATGTGTTTAATATACAGAGACGAAAATAATTTTTCGCACATAACTTATAAACTAGTGCAGAAGTCTTTGAAAATTATAAGAAATAAATAAATTCATAGTTGATCGAAACCCATCGCAAGCGAAAAATAGAATAACAAACATTAAAGGAAAAATAATGTACGGGTGAGATCTCTAGAAAGGAAGGAGAGGGGGGCACTGCTTATCTCGATTTCCRGCAAAACTATTATAAGAGGCAGAAAAAAGTTATTTGGCAACCTGTTGGCACAGAGTATAATAGTTTTGTTCACCTAATAACCTAACCTAAGCGAGATAGATATAAGGTTTTATATACTTATATAAATGATCAGGATGATGAGAAAAGTTGAAATCTAGGTCACTGTCTGTGTGTCCGTCCATACGTGCAAGTTGTAACTTGAGTAAAAGTTTAAATATCTTGATATCTTGGTATACCTGTTCTTTAGAACAAAAAAAATGACGAGTTCGTAGATGAACTGCCCCGCCCACAAATCGCCATTAGCCGAAAACTTATAATTAGCCATAACAAAGCACCAAACTAAAATTTAAAATTCACAGGGGATCGCGGTAGCAAAGTGCACATATGGGCAACATTTTTTGAAAAAATGGATGTGGCCATACCCTCTAATAAGTTTCATGAACATGTCATGAACATTAAAAATTCATTATTCGATGAAATCGTGAATAAATTACATCAAATTTGATATTTTCTTGACTTATATCACTGTGGAACATTTTTGGGGGGTGAGAAATTCCAAGTCAGGGTGATGGTACTAGGTCAGTATAGTAAAATCCTCAAAGGGTTTGGCGTTCGTATGTGTCAGTTTTTTTTATGACCTTATGACCCCTTTTTTCCTTATCTTGAAAAATTATATTACAAACATTTACAAATGAGATATGTGATATTAACTAGACTTTTGTACCGTTGTTGCAGTGCACTTTCCTCCATTTTCACACTGTGACATAGGAATGTTAAAATAATGGCATTTACTGAACTTCGTTTAAATCGGATGAGAAGGTTCCGAGATATGTAATCTCACCTAAAAGACGACGCTGCCACGCCCAATTTTGGCCGCCGCTATTATAAAGCCCTCTCATAATAATTCGAGGCTAAAGTGTCTGGCGTATTTAGTGATTGATTTATAGTTTTTAAAGATTAGTACTGCGAAATTATAGTTCCATATTGTGGGCGTGGAAGTTATCCAATTACGTCGATCTACGAACTCATTCTTAGTTTTTGGCCAGGAAACATAAATACCGATTTTTTACTCAAGTTACAGCTTGAGCGGACTGGCGAATATGCAGACAGTCACACGGATTTGAACTTGTCTCGTCTTCCTGATGATTTATATGTGTATACATATACATAAACCTATATCTATCCACAATAGTTTTAGGGGATACATTCAACCGTTAGGTGAACAAAACTATTATATAATACTCTATAGCAACATGTTGACAGAGTATAAAAATATAATTGAAGAACAGTAAAACATTGCATTAAAGTCCAGTTTATTAAATAAGGCATGACTTTCTACCAAACTTAGAGATTGTGTTTCCTTTACAGTAAAGCATTCTTTAGAAAAGTGTCTCATTAAGGATTTTGGGGAGTTGCGGATTGGGATTGAAAAATTTTATAACAGGTATTATATTTAATATATTTTTTTCAATTGTGAAAAAGGCATTGACACAAATAGCTGAAAAAATAGAACAACAGGTATTCTATTTTTTCAGCTATTTGTGTCAATGCCTTTTTCACAATTGAAAATACCTGTTGTTCTATTTTTTCAGCTATTTGTGTCAATGCCTTTTTCACAATTGAAAAAAATATATTGGTTTATAATAGCTGAAAAAATAGAATACCTGTTACAAAATTTTTCTAAACAAATAATCATAAATAAATGTGGTTTAGTTTAATTTTCTCGTCACATTCGTTGGTTTAGTATCAAAATTTAAGTGTGCAATGTTGCAGATTCAGTTAAAGTCTAAGTCTATAGTGATTCAACTACAGCGTTGCAGATCCTAAGCAATTTATTGTCATCTTCAGCTTTTAGGGATTCCTCCAAATATGTGATATGAACATATTTCGCAAAAATGAAATAAAATAAAATTAAAATCCAAAAAAATCTTAATCGGGCTAATAGAATAAAAACTTGTAAAATATTAAATTCTTCAAACCGTGTAACAGAATTAGGGGTTTTCTGAAATTAAGAAATGATTGATATTTCGCTCAACCTAATTCGTAGTCGTACTTAGAGCGCATAAGAAGACGAAACTTAAATGCTTTTATAGATGAGTTGGTATTTTAATAATTAATACAAGTATTCGAAGTATTTGTTGCCTACGGCTTAGATTGGAATGAACATCATTGAATTGATAGGTCAATGGACATAATTGTGATTTTTTAAAGGTAATAAACTTGCTCATATTTTATTTTTAATTCAGTTTTTGCAAATTTTGTCTTTTTATAGAAGTATATTTACTCAACTTATTGTTTGCACGGAATAGTGCGGAAAGACTTTGTAGAAAATATTTYTCCCGTCTTCCTGATTCCTTTGGTAAAGGCCTGGGCAATATTACGATTCTTTTGGCGTCGCGATTTTATGGTACGGATGGATAGAGGAGGACCTCAGGATTAAAAAATGTATACACATATACCCGACATCACATCAGACTCATAGTTTTCGAGATATTTCTGTGTCAAGTTAAAAAAAAACAWTGTAAAAATAATGCTCGTTATTTAAACATAGTGAACTTTCACACATTTTTTAATTAATATATATTTAATTGCATATATATTTAATATATATATTTAATACACATTCGAGTATATCAAAAATTTACACTAATTGTGTATTTTTAAATATACTTTAAAAACTATTTTGCACATTCAAACTTTCAAGAGATTTGTGTGTTTACATTTATGACAAATAGCAGTGTTGCCATACTTGTGTCSTGAAAGTATAATCAAAAATCTGTTTCATATTTCGGGATATAAATGAATCAAAATGAAATATTGTTTCATATATTTATATGGATTATATACCATATCTTTTTTTTTTTTGCGGGTGAGGGGGTGGAAAGTGTTTTCCGCATCACCGGCGCTATCGTCACAGTAGCGGTATGTGCCACTTGAAGGTCACTAAAAACCCCCCCTCTAAGGAACCGTCGCCCACCCTGGGACCGAACTTGCATTACTTCAGGGTGGCGTTGCATTTTTCTCATTGAGAGATTTACATCTGCACACCTGSGTCCAGGTCCCACTTTTTGATGCGTAGCAAGAGYACTGCGTATTTCTGGATAATCCTCCAGTTTGCTTCGCTCTCCAACATGACGCTGATTAAATTGYCAGCGTTTATTGGGCCGACCATGTCTTCTACGGCGGTGCGTTCTCGTTGCCAGCGCTCACATGTGCGTTCAGCGTCGTCTTCTGTCGCGTCGTTGTATAGGCATGAGGGCTCTTCGACTTTTCCCATTCTGTAGAGATACGTTTTGAAGTATCAGTGGCCGGATAACAGCTGGGTTTTGTAAAAGTCTACTTCTCCGAATTTACGGCTTGCCCACAAATCTAGATCTTTTATCAGCCTGGCCGTCCATTTGCCGCGACTTTCATTCTCCCATCTTTGTTGCCACGATGTTATCGTATCTTTCCTCATTTGTCGTATTGCGCTCTTGTTATTACCGGGTGATTTCGTTAGCTCCCACAGCTTTTTACTTTCATATGCTAGAAGGCCGATTGAAGCATTGGCGACGTGACTGCTATCTGTCGTGGTCCCTCTTTAGTTTCGTACAGCAGTTTCCTGTTACTGAGGTAGCTCCGCACCATAGGCCTGAGGTAGTCGGGTATTTTGAAGATTTTCTCGTGGGCGTCGATCATATCTAGGCATTTAGCGCTGTTGAAGGCGTTTCAGACGTCTAGAGTCGCCAACAACACTATTCTTTTATATTTATGCCATCTGCGCTGCGCGGCTTCTACGCTTTCTATGACACATTTTATAGCTCCTATGGTTGATCTACCATAATAAATAGAATAAAATTATTATAGAATGCAAAGTTTTATAGTATTTCTCTCCTTTTGATTAATATAGGTGTTCGGGTATGTGTTCGAGGGTTATTTCTTTTGAAGCGCGCCCGAAGGCTGCCAGTGCAGAAAGTAGTTCGACACAAAAGAACTATACACACCCCAGTGTTGGACCGACCAGGGTTATTTTTTTTTTTGATTTTGACATTATGAATACAAACACTTTTTTCGTAGGGCGGAATCTCGCTCCGAATCAACACAACTTTCTATAATTGAATCATGCCCATATTTCTTAACATATGGTAAACATGTGTTAAAAAATATTGTTATTATTATGTTAAATAATTAAGGTTATTTGGAGGTTATTCTCGCACAAACCTTACATGAAAAAAGCAAAAAAAAAAGTCATTTTGTGAGGTGAAAAGCATTTTGCTGCTAACAGCTGTTTTATAAAAATAAACCAAGCAAAATAAAGAAACAAACAGCCAAGAAAAGTGAGTAATTTTTCAAATATATTAAATTTGTTGCAGAGGGAGAGAGATTTATTATTTTTTTTAAACTTTTATTTAGAAGCTAATATTTTTTAAAATTCACTCTTTACAGTCTAATAAAGAAAGTTTCAACACGTTTGAGGTAAAAGGCTTATATTTTTTAATTTGTATATACTATAGGTATATATGTATAAACATACATACATATGTATACGTTCATACTTATTTTTGTTAATCTAATGCCCGCAAGCTCAGAGAGTTCTCACCTGTTCCTCCGAATAAGAAATTAAAATTTGTACTTATATATTTTTTCCTTTCTTTTTTCTTTTCTTCTAGAAAAATGTAACAGATAACTCATTAGATCTATGCAAAAAGGTAGATGTGTAGTGTAAGCTTTTAAATAACAGTTTTTGATAAATATTCCTTTACAGAGTTGCCTTGCAAATCAATATAACTCCAATTCAAATTTGCGTGCTTTAGCGGATGAGGTAGCTGAAAAACATGACGAAATCTGTGACTTAAGGCGACGAATTAGCTGCTTAGAGGATGAGATACAGAAGGCGCAACAAAAGATTCAGCTAAAGGACAATGTTATAAAAGAGTTGCGAAATGATTTGAAACGTGTCAATACCAAGGTCTCTAAATCAAATGTGTTTGAATTCATATTTCAGATTTTGAAATTTTTGTCTTTTTGACATACTTGTGTATTAAAACAAACAAAAATTTGTCTTAAAAATTCTGTTTTCACTTTTTTCTTAATTCATTTTCTTTAACAAAATTTGTTCCAAAACATCAACGTTTTATTTTCATTAATCTGCTTTTGACATTCTTTTGTGTGTTTGTTAAAAACGGATTTAGTTTCGGCTATAAATTTTTCACTTTCTCTTTTTATTACCATTCCAAAAGCTAATTGATAACGGTTTAAGTATTTGTGGTACATGTGCCGGAGCTTCGTCCAATTATAGTATGCCACCGATCAACTTGGAGGAACTGTCGTCACGAAGTGCTTCGACACAAGTGTCTGCTGGGTTAATGTCATGCAACCAGGTACGCCTCGCTATTTATATATAAAAATATGCTTTTGTATATAAAGCATTTGTTACAGGTTTCATTTATTGCTGAAAATTTGTCATATGATTCATTGAGTAATGCCGGTCAAGTGGAACAACAAAAGCTAAAAGCTCTAGAAATTGAATTAAACGAACTTTTTCAAGTTACCAAGGAGTTTAAAAGCCATAATCTAGAATATCATCGAAAGCGACTGTCAGATATTTTAAAAAAATCAGTAAATAGAGTGATACAATAAAATTATCGTTTTTAAAATTACTAAAAATGTGATATATGATTAGGAAAGTGAAAAAGCAGAAGCCTATAGAAAGTTAGACTCCATTCGCAAGCAGCTCATTAACTTAGAAGCTTCTACCGCAATGTCGTTTAAAAGCTGCTCCAATGATTCTGATTCAGGCCTTAGCTCTAAATGCGACAGTGATCAGGATGCTAAGATATTTGATGCTCTTCGAAATCGTTTACAACGTCTAAATGAAATGAACATGACATTGAATCATCGCGTTCAGGCGCTTACAATTGAAAATAATGGTAAACATTATATATAAGATAAACTTATAATTCAATAATAATTCAGTAAAATTGCAAGCAGAACTTTCGACATGCTTAAAAACAGAGCAGACTTTTGCAAAGAGGAATAGTGATACACTAAAGACTCTAGCTGATATGATTTGTGGAATGGTAAGTGGTTGAAATTAAATAGTAGACAATGCTCAATACCAACTCCATAAGTATGCTATTACACATACCACGATGATTTATTGGCAAACGAGATCTGCGAAAAGTTTATGTATAATAACAAGTATCCCACTAAGCTTATGCAAACAAAATTAAACGACATAAACCGGTATCGGTATCCGTACTAAAATTACCATAAATGATAKTAAGACAAAGCTAGTAGCGTTCAGTAGGAAACAGAGAATACTAGACTATACTACTGTACAAAGCTAATAATAGGAGAGAAAGCACGCTACATTGGAATTATTTTAGACCGGAATCTTTCATGGAATCCAAATTTGGACGCTAGGGTAATGAAAGCAGCTACGGCACTTTACACCTATAAAAAGATGGTGGGCCSCTCGGGTAGCTCATTTACTCTACACAGCAGTTGCATATAATGCCGATTGTGACATACGGTTTATTGATATGATAATCAGTAATGGAAAAGAAACGCTGTAAGGCGAACGAAAGGTAAACAAAAATTAGCTAGTATGTGAATCAGCGGGGTTCTTAGAACAATGCCAAGTGAGGCACCAAACGTTATTTTACACTAAATAGAAACAGACTTGTTCTCTAAGATAGTGAAGTTAGCTCAGGGAATCCTTTCAATTAGTCGTCTATAATAAGGGCCATTCTAAAATATTTAGAAAGTTCCCGTTTCTACTCACTACCACAGATTTTCGAAATCCTATAGAATTAAACATAAATTTGAGCCCCCCAATGTTGCCTTCTCTTCTGAAACTACTTATATCCGTTATGCTTTTTGTGAAAAACCATTCAAGGTTTGTCTGATTCCAAGTATTTGGATTTGTGATAAGCTGGGCATTCGCAGAGGAAGTAGAAACCCGTTTTTATATTCTTGGCTTGAGCTGCGACAAATATTTTTATATGGCAAGCCCATTTTTATGACATACTCTCCAAATTGCCTGTGCCCGTTATAGCAACTGTATACCGCGTAATCGGAGAAGGAAGATATGATGAGGATGATGAGGTCGTAAACAATATKGGATTGATCACTCAGTTGAGTATTTGTTAAGCAATTCATGCAGTGGAAGTGGCCTCTAGCGATCTGTTGGCATTGAACAGGCTTTATACTCTTGAAGATGGTGCTTTTCTTTAGGACATGTGATCGATTATGCCTTTCAAATTGCTAATTGGCTGACTCGAAACATGTGCTTGGAGGGTGGAGTTATGCTCTAGGCGTAGCAATTGTGGACCACCAAGTCTTGGGAGTACTTTGGCTATCCTCTATGTCCATTTTTATTGGATTAGGAATATATATTAAAACATGATTTGCCTCATAATTTGAATTATGTTGTTTATTGTTAGAGATGGATATATCAATATAATGTATATGTATACTAAAGGATCCTTTTTTTATTATTTCGAACAAAGAGCCAACATTAAATTATGTTTTAAAATTCGTAAAAGTTTTACCGAATCGTTTCATTTGATGATACAAGTTTATGGCTCTATGATTGCCTATCTCGTAGCATAGTGCACTAGTGGTTTCAACGTTTTCAAAGTGGTCGTGAGGACATAAATGATGATCAACATGTGTGCCAATCAAAATCCGTAATCACCGGAAATTCCATCGAAACTGTGCGTGAATTCATCAAAAATCATCATTGCAATTCATGGAATAGAATTGAACATCTCCAAAAATTCGATTTATCCCATTTTGACCTAATATTTGGGCTTATGAAAGGTGTGTGCACGGTTTGTTCCGCACAAATTGACTGACGACCACCGTGCGTAGAGGCTATTCAAAAGGCTTGCACGGGCATACTGGAAGTCATACCGGCCAACGAGCTAAACACTCGTTAGACATGCTTTTGGACCGTGCGAAAAGCTGTATTGATGCAGAAGAAGACTATTTTGAATAAAATAAACTGATTTTGCCGAAAAAACCATTTGTTCTTTTTTTTTTTTAAGTCCTGTTTACTTTGAAAAGCACCTTATAAAGCTTTGCTTTTTTTGGGAAAATACCGGTGAATTTGTGCTCTACACCAAGGAAATCAACTGTTGAAAATATATTTGCTAAGTTGGAAAAATGCTAGCACTGAGGATAATGAAGACAGTAGAGGCTCTAAAGAGGCGAAAGCTCTGTGAAAAGTGTGTGCCTGTCAAGTTCATATTCTAATAAAAACAACGAATTGCTTAGTCTGAGGAGTGTTTGAGTGTTCTTTAATCGCAATAAACCCGAATTTTTGCGTCGGTGTGTGACAATAGAAATACAGCTGAATCATTTCACACTGGAGTCCAATYGACAGGCATCATAGTGGATTGCACATGATGAACCGGACTTCAAACGCAGAAAGACTAAAAAGTCGGATGGCAAGGTTATGACGTAATTTTTTGGGAATGCACGTAGTATAATATTCATCGGCTGATTACTGAGCCAGTTATAATCCATTGCACTGTATATTTGGTTGCAGTTCTATTCTACTATTTCAAATATTTAGCAATTGTATTATTTTTGAGTAAGGATAAGTTTGAAATAGTACGCATATACTTCATCGTTTCTGTTTAAATATTCCTCCGCAGCCTCCGATGCGCCTTTATTGGCACGGTATCGCCGCAAACGCTATGTCGCCCAATTTTTAAATCTGTAATATCTTCGAAAATATTCACTTAAATCAAATACTGTAAGGAGCCATATAGATCTATATTAAAGGTATTTAAGATATTTAATTGAATAACGATTAATACTGTATTGGTTAAAAATTAACCATTATTTGTCGTAAAAAGTTAATGACAAAAAAATGTTAATGTGGCATATCCATAAGAGATAGAGATATACCAACGCTAGTTTTCTGTAGACCTTTTCAATGGGTACAATACTTAGTACATTATTTTTATAAATCTCGGTTCAGCCTGGGTTTTCAATGTAAGCGGAAAAAATGTAATTATTTACGAGCTCAACCTTAAACCTCAAAAATAACAGTATTTCTCCACTATTTAATGGATGTTATTTTACATATAAACCTTCCTCTTCAATCTCTCTATCTATTAAAAAAACTGCATCAAAATCCGTTGCGTACTTTTAAAGACTTAAGCATACAAAGGGATATAGGGATAGAAAAATCGACTTTATTTTATATTGGATATGTTGATATAATACATACTTATACTAGATATTTTTTGTGGCTTAGTTTTAATCGTGTTCGTTACTTTTAAGTTTGCACGTACGGATTGTAAAACAATACTACTTCGAGTTAAGCGAATTAATCGTCGTTTTTAATTTTATTTATGCGCTTGATTTCGCGGTACTCCGGTGTTCCGAAGGAAACACAATTTTACTAGTCGTTGATGACAGTTTGCGCTTGTACATGACTATTTCGTTCCCGATGGATCTTTTCAATGCGACCTAGTCGCCATTCRGTTGAAGGAAAGCATATWCCTGTATGATGACACATTCCCCTGCACTGGGTACTTTTTGGATCGATTTCTATTGACGTCTCTTATGGAGAAGAATTTCATAATTTATCCCTTAATGGGTAGAAGTGGAACTCGTTCGAAGAAATGTCTAGCTGTTTGAATTGTGAAAGCGAAGGGATATTGCGAGAGTGCCACAATTTCAAACTTCGGAATTGCGTGACTACTGACTATTTTAGACGAGAATAGAGTAATAGTTTTAGAAGAGGTGGGCTTGAATGAGAATCGCACAGCAAAGCGATCATATTGGTTTTTGAACAGGGCTTCGCATATTTGGTTTTCTTCTGAAGGGTGTGTGATTTCAGGTAATTCTATTTTCTAGAATTTTTTGAGTTTATTATTTCAATATTCGTTTGCATTATTTTCAAGTTGAGTTTTGAAAGAACTAATTTTTTCTGTGACTTGGCCACTTAGAATCAAGGTATTAAGTTATTATCTAATAATATATTGATTTGTGACGGGCTGTGGCAGTTGGAGTCTGCTAATTTGAGATATGAGAATTATTCCCTTTGTTTTTTATTTACTTGGAAGCAATTTTGTGAGTTGCAGTAGAACTATGGTTTGTGCATTCATTGTTATATCCGCGTTTGGAGATATCATGGTTATTTGGAAAATGTTGTCCAATTTAAAATTGAAATTTTCGATTGTCAATTCTACCTGATTCTGCGCCTTAGATTAAAGATCTTCTCTATGTTCAACAGAGATGGCCGCAGTGTTTAAAATAAGTCAGCTTCCATTCTCTGAATGATTGCTTGAGCTTTTGTTCTTTTTGAGGAACATGGTTGTTCCTCCCCGTTTTCGGGATTCGGGATTTCAGTGTTAAATGATTTGGTTGCCACCACTAACCCTTCAGTTTTACGAGATTCTATATAGTTTTCTTCATATTCTGGAGATTGGTTATGAAATGCAATTCGTGATGTCGCCGTTGACAATATACACAATTGAAATTGCTTTCACAGTCTTTTGTCCCGTGAGAATTGGAAAGAAAATTGATGCGAAGTCGTCGGGCTTAACAAGTTCACGATTGCGGTTGCAATTTCGGTCTAAAACAATTTCAAAAGGAATATTAACCTGTAGGAAAGTCGCTATCCCGCTATAAAGCCTTTTTTGTTTTTTGTTTTTGTTTTAGTGTGGCAAAATGGGGGCGATTTGAACAAAAATTTTGGAATTTGGGTCTTTTTTCGACAGTTTCTCGTAGAAAAGAATACAAGGATTGAAAAACACCATTCTGAGAAAAACGCGTTTAAAGATTGGAGTATGTTCTCTTTCTACAAGAAATCAGCTGTAGAGGGCGTAATAATTTCAATTTAAAATTCAAATTGAGAGAATTTGAGTATACTATCCGATAATGCACAATATTCGATTTTTCGATMATTTCACACTGAGGCGGTCCTTTTAATACCTACAAGTGGTCAGGCGCATTTAAATACCCTCTTTTTCGGGGTCTAATTGTACGTTGGGACCTGAGCTGGCTATCATCTTCGCAGTTACCAATTAATGGCCAAGAAACCATTGCAAGTTTA